GACCTTCCGTCAGAAAGAGCATTCCAAACTCTAAAAAAAAAGCTAACATCTGCTCCAATTTTGAAATTTCCAGATTTTTCTAAGCCTTTCTATCTGACAACTGATGCTAGTTTTAATTGGCATAGGTGCCGTACTAGCTCAGAGACCGATGGGAAGTACAACGCGTTGCATTGCTAGCCCAGTCCTTACGAAGGCTGAACGTAATTATACAGTAACTGACAAGAAGCTTTAGCAATATTGTTTTTTTAAAGCACTTCCGAGACTTTTTTTATCAGTACTCTGTTTCATTGTTTGACAGATCATGCTCCACTGATACCCTTATTCCCGAACAAACAACCAATGGAAGGTTAGCTAGATGGACCTTGATATCCAAGAGTTCAATTTCCCCCCTTTGAGCAAATTTCCTGGCAAGTCAAATGTAGTCCGCAGATGCCTTTTTCGCGACAAAGTTAGTATAGTAACTTCAGACCCTCCATTTAGTGTGAAGATGTAAAGAATGCTCAACGAACAGAAACCCATGGGGGTCTGGTGTGATACGATTCCTGCTCCAGGAAGATCTTATTCTGACTGTGAAGCCACCAGCTCCCATCAGTGACTTTGCCCTGAACCAAAAAATACTGTATCGAACAGCGAGTTGGGTACTCCTAGCAGAAGAGTATGCCAGTTAGTAATTCCACAGTCACTAGTGAATGTAGCCTTACAGCTGTTCACGATGTACCAGGTGTTGCACACCCTGGTATGGATCGTTCAGTAAAACAAGCCAGATTTAAATACTTTTGGCCTCGTATGGCAACTGATATTTCTGAGTATGTTAGGAAATGTAGTGTCTGCATGCAAAATAAAGGCAAATGCTAATGGTCCTAATCCAATCCAAAGTGTATCCAACTACTAGCGAACCTTGGGAAAGAGTTTGCGCTTTGATTTGTTAACTAATTTCCAATGTTCCCTCCAGGGTAACAAACATCTGTTGTTATGGTAGACCCCTTTCACCAGATATTGCGAGTTAGTCCTATTGCAGATAAGACTGCCGAACAGTAGCTAAAGCGTTAAAGAACGCATTATCTGCAGGCATACCACTCCTAAGTCCCTAGTAACAGACAATTTAGGTGAATTCTGTAAAAGAAATTCTTGAAATTTGTGTACCTTGTACAAGATCACTAAATCCACCATTGTTCCTCATCATCCTGCCAGCAATGGGTTGCAGAACGAACCAATAAGAAAGTACTTGATGTCTTGAGAGCCACATCAATCCCAACAGTGAAAACTTGGGATGAAAATTATACCTGATGTGCAGTGTGCTATAAATTCTGCTTTTCAATGTTTCTATAGGTGACACTCCACATTATGCATTGTACGGTGTAGATAAACGTTTGCCTTATGAGTTGTTATTTCTAATCCGAAACCCAATTACAACCCTGAGATTTCGTTGCAACTCGTACCAGCTTAGCTCAAAGTGTTTTTTAGAAGAATCCGTGAAAACTTCATAAATCAACAGCTGAATTTACAAGAGTCGCAAATATCGAGTTAAAGCCATCCAAAATCAAAGTAGGTTCGGAGTTATGCTGACTAACTTTAACAAAACGTCTGCTATGCCAAAGCTTGATCAAAGGTTTGTTGGTCCTTATCGAGTAGTTTGAACAATCACTGGTAATAAGTATAAGGTTAGAGAGATTAGTACTGGTCTGTATAAAGAAAATCGCATTTGGATCATATGAAGTTAGTATGTGATGATAATGATGTTCCAACCCAGACTAATGTGACAGACTCTGACAATCCTCCTGATCCTGTACTCTCTTCCTCTGATCCCCAGTCAGATGATCAACCTGAATGTCGTTATTTCCCCACGTTTCACGACAGGTATTTAGAAATCCTCAAGTATCATTTGTAACTTCCAATTCAGATTTGCCTCAAATACAGCATGAGTTAGCCAATGCTCAGAGTTTGATCCTCCCAGAGATGACACCCATTCTGCATATGCCAATCTTACCCTAGCAGAGTTGGGGTTTAAATGTAAATAACTGTATAGATGAATAATTACAGCATCAACTTATCAGTATTCAAGAATTTTTTTTTTTTTTTTGTTCCCCTCCGCATTCTGAGAGTTAACAGTCTAGATTTGCGTGCACCGAATCTGCCTTTTTGTTAAACACTCTTTCTTTGTATATATTCCTTCCTCAGAATCCGTAGATCACACGAATACAAAATCGATCGATCAAAATTTTTTTTTTTATCACTTATAATCTCAACGTAGAGTTCGTTGTTCATTTGTTGAGTTCTAAGTTGTACTATAGTATACCTTGTATTGCATTACAGTTTCAGTTACGTAAGCTTTCATTCCAATGTTCTACTTATGTATCTATAATGTTCATGTTGTGTACTTTGACATTGTATAGAATCAGCCCAAGCCGTATACCTGCCATCTCTAGTTTTGTATTTGTTGTATGTCGAGACGACATACGTTAGCGTCGCCGAGCTCTCAGTAGTAGTAACCAGTTACCAGTCTCAGTAGTAACCAGTTACCAGTAACCGTCCGTTGAATCAACGACCAACCGTCTTGAGTCACGGTCTTCATATTGTGCTGAGCTGACACTATTTCAAAACACCCACTACGGGGTACTGGCCAGCCGCCTAGTCAGTTTTACGAGTGTAACCAAAGAGACAGGTAACGGCTGCGGGTTCTCTCCACATATCTACGATTATACGTAATAACAGCCTACGTGAGTATTTCTACCCTAATCCACGTATCGAACTCCCACATGATAGGTGGCTGCATAACTAGGAGTTAGGGTGGTTGGTGGCTACATAACTAGGAGTTAGGGTGGTTGGTGGCTGCATAACTACTAGTTAGGGTAGTTAGTGGCTACATAACTAGGAGTTAGGGTGGTTGGTGGCTACATAACTAGGAGTTAGGTGGTTGGTGGCTACATAACTACTAGTTAGGGTAGTTAGTGGCTACATAACTAGGAGTTAGGGTGGTTGGTGGCTACATAACTACTAGTTAGGGTAGTTAGTGGCTACATAACTAGGAGTTAGGGTGGTTGGTGGCTACATAACTAGGAGTTAGGGTAGTTAGTGGCTACATAACTAGGAGTTAGGGTGGTTGGTTTGGGTACATAACTAGGAGTTAAGGTAGTTGGTGGCTACATAACTAGGAGTTAGGGTGGTTGGTGGCTACATAACTAGGAGTTAGGGTAGTTAGTGGCTACATAACTAGGAGTAAGGGTGGTTGGTGGCTACATAACTAGGAGTTAAGGTAGTTGGTGGCTACATAACTAGGAGTTAGGGTAGTTGGTGGCTACATAACTACTAGTTAGGGTAGTTAGTGGCTACATAACTAGGAGTTAGGGTGGTTGGTGGCTACATAACTAGGAGTTAGGGGGTTGGTGGCTACATAACCAGGAGTTAGGGTGGTTGGAGGCTACATAACTAGGAGTTAGGGTGGTTGGTGGCTACATAACTAGGAGTTAGGGTGGTTGGTGGCTACATAACTAGGAGTTAGGGTGGTTGGTGGCTACATAACTAGGAGTTAGGGTGGTTGGTGGCTACATAACTAGGAGTTAGGGTGGTTGCTGGCTACATAACTAGGAGTTAGGGTGGTTGGTGGCTACATAACTAGGAGTTAGGGTGGTTGGTGGCTACATAACTAGGAGTTAGGGTGGTTGGTGGCTACATAACTAGGAGTTAGGGTGGTTGGTGGCTACATAACTAGGAGTGTATATGGCATGTTAGAGTGCGTGGACAGTGAAAACATGGGTAAGGTGCGGGCTGTGAGTGCTAGAAGCTGTGGAGTGGTGAGTGAATGCATGAGTAAGGTGTGGGGTCGTGTGGGCTAGAAGCTGTGGGGTGGTGAGTGAATGCATGAGTAAGGTGTGGGGTCGTGTGGGCTAGAAGCTGTGGAGAAGTGGTGTTGGTGAAAGGTATGCTTGGTGTGGATGGTGTGATGGGTGACTGGGTGGGCGATTATGCAGCTGGCGGTAATGAGCGTGGTGGGTGATGAGTGATTGTGACCATGGGGGGAATTGTTGTAAGGGTGGATTGTGTGGGGATATTTTGCTGGTTGGGATGGTGTGGGTGAAGGCATGTGACTGTGGGGGAGATGTGTGGGTGGAGTCTGCTGGTTGGAATGGTGTGTTTGAAGGTGGGGCCGTGGGGAAATTATAGGGGAAGGAGGTAAGGGTGGGAGAGGCAGGAATGAGTTAGAGGTATGGTATGGGTGAAGGCATGTGGCCGTGGGGGATTTAAAGGAGCAGGTGGTATGGAGGGGAGTTGTTACTCGGTGTTCAGCAAGAGTGTGGCCATGGAAGGGGGGACGTGAAAGAGCAGCTGATGTGGGCGGAAGTGTGGCTGAGGTATGGCACTAAGTGACTGGATGCATATCAACGTAGCACAAATGATGTTGACGATAATAATAATAATAATAATAATAATAATAATAATAATAATAATAACAATTATTATTATTATTATTACTATTATTATTTCATTAATATTGTTAGTAAGAGTTATATGATTATTATTACTTATTATATTATGATTATATTATTTTCTTTCCAAACATGGTACAAAAAAGAGTTTTAAATAAAATTGTTGCCAGATTGAACGATTTTTTGTTAAGCTTAACGCAGGTAACGATTTTTTAAATGGTTTTCGTACCCGACCAGCAGAGCACGGCAGTGTTGGTGAACCGCTTCCCATCACCCGCCGCCCGAGCAGGGCACTGTTGGTGGCCCTCCTCCCACCACCCGCCCGCCCGAGCAGGGCACTGTTGGTGGCCCACCTCCCGCCGCCCGAGCACAGCAGTGTTGGTGGCCCACCTCCCACCACCCGCCCGCCCGAGCATGACAGAGTTGGTGGACCATCTCCCACAGCCCACTGCAACCACTTACTGCAACCTCCACCCACTGCTACCACCTCCCACTGCTACCACCACGTTCAACTGCCACCATCACTGCCAACTCCCACTGCCGAATTGATCAGCCATCACCCTGCCGCAAATACACCTATGTTCGTTGAGGGTGGGCCCGGCTAGGCGAAGAGCAACACCAATCCGAATGGCCTGTCGGTCAAGTCCAGTGCCCAGGGAGGAATTAAGAATTAGTTCTACTGTGAATTTCTGAGATTGTCAAAATGAACAAGAGTTAAGAACACACTAATCACTACTACCCCTTTGTCCATTTCTGGTAAGGGGGTGATGCCCTTGTGAAGCATATTTCTCCTTCATTCCTTGAAACCAATCTGAGCTTCTCCTGCGCATTCCTCCCGCACCCCTCTAGGATATGATGAAGTCAGCATTATTTCTCTCTTTGCTCAACACTGCAACAGTATGCAATGCAAATGGTAGTGTTCTTGTTATCTAGCTATAGACTACCATTCATCATAGTCCCACATTGTAGGTAAAGTGGGGAAGGGTTTTCTTTTAATTTTCCTGCTAAAGGGAAGAGAGTCATTACTCTTGTTTCACTGTCACTTACTGTAACAAACAATGATCTCTAGCAAGAAGAGGGTGGTGTGGCTGTGACGCTGGCATCAACATGCAGATCCAATTAAATGTTTACCAAGAAGTAAGAGAGGCCATTAGCCCCTCTTCTGGGAGGGCTGAGTCCCTCAAGTCCCTCAGGGGGCTGAAGGGGGCTGAGAGGACTGAGAGATAATGTATTTCTGGAGAATATTCTCCACAGAAACAGGTAAAAGGAAATCCCCTGAATGTTGAGCCTTCACCGCTCGGAGACGAGCCTTGTCCTTTCCTAAAGCATTGGTGAGCACCTTATTTTCTGCATTACAATCCCTTATTCTCTCCTCCATTCTCTTCAGGTTATTCATCTTGTCCATGAGGACTGTGTCAATGGCCTGATGACCCAGCGGTACTCAAAAGAGAGTCCTCTTGAATGGAGTGGTAACAGAGACTTCAGGAAGCATTATTCGCACAGCTCGGGTTATTTTCTGGTTCGTTGAGATGATTTCACACTTGGAGGGATTGAGGATGTACTGTACAGAAAAAATTTAAATTGTTGTCTTAGACAGATAACAAGAGTTAAGAAACATCGGAACCAGAATCTGTTGGCTACAGTCTTACTCAGGGAACGATGACAAATAATTTGAGGATGTGATTTTTATAGGCCACCCAAACCTTATAGGGAGTGCAGTTAAGCTGTTATGGGACAAATTCATAAGCATGTAGATATGCAAATGTTGTGATGAGGTGATTTTGGAATCTATTGACTTTCTTGATACGGTTCCGGATGCTTTTTAGACACCCACGGTTATGACATAACCTACTAGAGAAACAATCCTGCTTGACTTGGTTCTTGCCAAACAAAAGATTCACTAATTAATGATCCTTTAGGTTAATGATGAGCTTGGGATAAGTGATCACAAATCACTTATTTCAATATATCATGAAGTACCCAGATAACTGCAAGCAAATCTCTGTCACAGATTTTCGCTTGGCCGACTTCATGGGACTCGGGAAATATTACTCGGAGGGCTAAAATTGGGATGTCCTGAACTATGGGTCAGGTTAGGCGATCTTGGTTCTATAAGACGTTTTTCAGAAGCAATAGTTCTATCTGCCCCAGACAACTTTTGTTCCTGAGTAGGGAAACTAATCCTAACAAAAATGATCCAAATGATGAACAACAAATTAAAAACAGCTCACTGGTCAAAAGCACAGAGGCATATATAGGCGTATCAAAAGAAAGATGGGAATTTAACAAAAAGCAATATAATCAGTTCAAAGAGAGAACAATAAAGAAAGAGGAATAAGAAAAACCAAAAAGGGATTATGAACTAAGGATAGCAAGGGATTCAGAGACTAACCCAAAGGGATGCTTTCAGGGATATACAGAATAAGATTAGGGACAGAGATTGGCCCACTTAAGAGTAACTCTGGTCAGATCACTGACAGTGATAGATATGATGACATTCTCATACCGACCTCCTCTCATTTTTTCACAGCCAGTAAAATTCTAGCGAGAAATCTGAAATTATATTAAATGTAGAATAGGACTCAATAAACTAATGGCAACGATTCCAGTAACAGTGACATGGTTCCTCAGAACAAATACAGAAACTAAAACCTAACAAATCCAACTCATGCCCCTGTATGAACTGTTTGCAAGGGTGTTAAAGGAAAGTAAAGAGCGAACTTATAGCAAATACCCTTTAAGCTAATCTTTCACTACAAACTGTCTTAGTGCCCTGATAAATGGAATGGAAAATGGCAAATAGTAATACTTTTACAAGGCAGGTGAAAGGTCCAATGGCTTCGAACTATAGACCAATAACGCCTTATTAACCGTCCATAGTGGAAAAGTTGTGGAATCAATAAAATGCCGAAGCAAATTCTAGCGATCTTTGATAGGACACAGATTGATTAATGAATCTCAACAACGGTTTTACAAAGGGGCGTTCCTGTTTTTACGCAATTTTTACTAACTTTTTTTTCACTAGGAGTGTTTGATAAGGTAAGAATCATGGTAATGAATATGATATTGGTATATGGACTTCGTATAGCTTTTCGATAGAGTTCCACACCAAGGCTATTGAGGAAACTTAAGGCACACGGAATAGAAGGAAAATTTTTTTTCCTAAGGTTGAGGCTGAGCCTGACAATAAGAGCACAGACAGGAGTTTTTTTGCATTAAATGGTGAGAAATCAATATGGGGCACTGTCACAAGCAGTGTTCCACAGGGGTCAGTGTTGGGCCGCGTTGTTGTTCAAATTAACGTAAATCGAATAGATGAGGAATAAATAGCCTACATAAGGCAAATTTGAGCATGATGACACCAAACAATAGGCCCGTCCCAATTCATTCTTATGAGGAACACTAGAGCACTCCAGGAGGATTTGATAGACTGAAGCAATGGTCGGAGAAGAGGCAGATGCAGATTAAATGTTGACAAATGCATAAGTATCTAAATGTTGGAACAGTAAATAACCATGCCGACACTTAAATAAATAATGTATGATCTTAAATAATATCTGATTGCGAGAAGGATTTAGGAGTTCTGGTTAGCAGTAACCTAACACCAAGACAACAGTTAGTAGTTGCTCACAATAAAGCTAACACAGAAATTCTGCGGACTCTCATATCTAGAAGTATTAATAAAAGAAGTCCGTCGGTGGTTATCAACTCTATATCGCTTGGTTAAGCCATCAGTTAGACTATGCTGCTCAGTTCAGGTCACCGTATTATAACTGGCTATAAATGTTTCTGAAAACTACAGATCAAGGAGGAACGACAAAGATGGTCCCCCATGACATCAGAATCTTTCCCTATGAGGATAGACTGAGGGCCCTGAATTCTGCACTCTCCGATCGAAAGGCGTAGAATATACTGGGTATATACACTAGTTGAGAGGTAGTAGATACAATGAAAACAGAATAATCAGGAAGGGATGAGTAAAATAGCGTGCTGAAGAATTTCCAAGCTGAGGAAGGTTCTCAGCAATGGTTTCAAGTTGGAAAATTCAGGTTCAGGAGGATATAGGAAAACATCTGGTTTTGGTAATAGAGTTGTGGATGAGTGAACTAACTCCCGAGAACAGTTATTCAGCTAAAAACGTTGTTTGAGTTTTAAAAATGGTTAGATAAATACAGGAGTGGGTTTGGGTGGGTATGTTATAGGACCTCGACTAGCTTGTGCTGCTGGGTCCTGCGCGTGCTCCTTCCTTGAGTTGGAGGTGACCAGACGTGGGGTGGGTCATTGGGCTAATCCGCGGTAACATGGACCTGCTCCAACGCATGTCCAGAAGGCTGTTGCAGTGTTCCTTCTTTTATTATGTTCTATGTTCTTTTACACAATTCGTTTTCTTATTATATAACATAGCTATACTGTAGGGTTTTTGGGACTGGGTATAGTGATGTGGCCCACTGTGGATGGTAGTGTTGGTGGCCCACTGTTGGGGGTTGGTATTGTTGGTGGCCGCAGTGTGGGTGGTAGTTGGTTTGTGTGGCCCCACTGTGGTGGTAGTGTTCGGTGGCCCAGTGTGGGTTGGTAGTGTTGGTGGCCACAGTTGTGTTAGTGTTGGGGTGCCCAGTGTCGGCGAGTGGTAGTGTTGGTGGCCCCACCAGGTGGTAGTGTTGGCAGGCCCAGGGTGGGTGGTAGTGTTTGGTGACAGTGTGGGTGGTAGTGTTCGTGCCCAGTGTGGTGGTAGTGTTGGTGGCCAGTGTGGGTGGTAGTTGTTGGTGGCCCAGTGTGGGTGGGTAGTGTTGGTGGCCCAGTGTGGGTGGTAGTGTTGGTGGCACGTGTGGGTGGTAGCGTGTTGTGGCCCAGTGTGGGTGGTAGTGTTTGGTGGCCCAGTGTGGGTGGTAGTGTTGGTGGCCCATGTGGTGGCTAGTGCGTTGGTGGCCCAGTGTGGGTGGTAGTGTTGAGGGATGCCAGTGATTGGAGTGGTAGTGCTGGGTTGTCAGTTGGGTGGTAGTGCTGTGCCAGTGTGAGTGTAGTGTTGGTGTCCCAGTGTGGGTGGTAGTGTTTGGTGGCCCAGTGTGGGTGTAGTGCTGTGTCCAGTGTGGGAGGTATGTGTTGGTGGCGCCCAGTGTGGGTGGTAGTGTTGGATGGCCCAGTGATGGGTGGTAGTGTTGGAGCCAGTGGGTGGTAGTAGTTGGTGCGGCCCAGTGGTGGAGGTAGTAGTTGTGTGCCCTGTGTGGTGGTAGTGCCAGGTGGTACCCGTGTGGGTGTAGTGTTGGTGGCCACCAGTGTGGGTGGTAAGTGTTGGTGGGCCCAGAGTGGGTTGGTAGGGTTGTGGCCCAGTGCGTGGGGTAGGGATTTGGTGGTCCAGTTGTGGTGGTAGTTGTTTTGGACTTGGACCCCAGTGTGGCGGTTTTTGTGTTGGTGGCACCAGTGTGGTGTAGTGTTGGTGGCCCAGTGGTGGTGGTAGTGTTGTGGTCCAGGTGGGTGGTAGTGCTGGGGGCCCAGTGTGGGTGTAGTTGCTGGTGTCCAGTTGGGTGGTAGTTTGGTGGCCCAGATGTGGTGTATTTGGTGGCCCAGTCTGTGGTGGTAGTGGTTGGTGGCCCAGTGTGGTAGGAAAGTGTGGTGGCCCAGTGAGGATAGGGTGGTAGTGTTGGTGCCCAGTGTGGGTGGTAGTGCTGGGAGCCCCAGTGATCGGGTGGTAGTGCTGGTGGCAGTGTGGGTGGAGTGTTGGTGAGGCCCAGTGTGGGTGTGTAGGTGGGTGGGCCCAGTGTGGTTGTAGTGCTGGTGGCCCGTTGGGGTAGGTCTTAAGTGCCAGGTGCAGCCCAGTAGTGGGTGAGTAGTGTTAGGTAGGCCCAGTGTGGGTGGTATCTGGTGGCCCGTGTGGATTGAGTACAGTTACTGTGGCCCCAGTGTGGGTGGTTGTTTGGATGGCCCAGTGTGGTGGTGAGTGTGGTTGGCCGTGTGGTGGAGTGTATGGGAGGGCCCAGACTGGTGGTAGTGTTGGTGCCAGAGTGTGGGTTAGTGCTGGTGGCCCAGTGAGGGTGGTATGGCTGTGGTCCAAGTGTGGGGGTAGTGTTTGGTGGCCCAGTGTGGGTGGTAGTAGTATGGTGGGCCCAGTTGGGTGGATAGTGTTGGTTAGCCGCAGTGTGGTGGTTAGGTTGGTGGCCCAGTGTGGGTGTAGTGGTTGGTCGCCCAGGATGAGTGGTAGAGGGTTGGTGGCCCGTGTGGGTGGTAGTGCTGTGGCCCATGTGTTAGTATGGTTGGTGGGACCAGTGAGGAGGGGTATGTTTGTGGCCCAGTGTGGGGGTAGTGTTGAGGCGTGCCCCAGTGTGGGTGGTAGTGTTGGTGCCCAGATGTGGGTGGTAGTGTGGGTGGACCAGTGTGGGTGGTAAGTGAAGGTGGCCCCAGTGTGGTGTG